ATGTGCAGATGTTCTAGGCCCACGACCCAGGGTTTGTTTGAATCTCACTTCTTGAGCGAAGTGCTTTACCCTCCTAGGTAGACATCACCTCCTAAGTCCCTGATAGGTGATTTTTGCAACACATTATACTTTTCTGTGAAACAGATGTCTAGGAAGTAGTTAGCTTAATTTATAATTATCTAGTAAATTAGTCTCCAAATCTAGTTCCATCTCCTGTCTAGAGAAGTTGGAATTCCACTTCAAACTGTGATAAAATGATTATTAAAAAATTGTTAACACTCGAGTACTTATTATAAGCATTTTGAAACCTGCTAAGTTAGGTATAGGTAGATACATTATCAACCCACTCTATAGATGAAGAAGCTGAGGGCACACAGGGGTGCTCAGGAGACTCGGCTATAAGAGGCAGTTTGATTTTTTTTTTTTTTTTGGCTTGTACCCAAGTTGAGGGTTTTGGCAGTTTGATTTTTACACCAGCCCTCTGGTGCCCGGACCTGGGCCAGTAGGGCCTGCACCCCACTGCCCTGAGCTCGTCAGGCACACATTTATCTCGCAAGTGTCGGGAAAAAACGCATCTGAAAAATAATGGTGGGATAAGACTGGAATGCAGCATTTAAAAAAACAAAAACAAAACACTTGTACTAATTTGGTGTGTTTGCTATTTACTTATTGACCCCTTTATCGTGTAGACAGAAAAGTGAGATATTTTGTCTAAAAGGGTCCAATTTGGTTTGTGGTAACCATGAATTGTCCAGAGGAAAAGTTGGTCTGTAACTTTTTTTTCCCTCAGCTATTATTATTAATCTTTTTGTGTCAAACAAAAGGCTAAACATTCCATACATCTTTTCTTGTTTGTTTAATCTGTACACAATACAGTGGCACAGGTTTGGTTTCTCCCTATCTTACTGATTAGGAAACCAAGGCTTAGAGAGGACATTATTCTAGAGGACACATGTATTCTTACTTGGGATTGACTGCAAAGCCTTGTACTCTTAACTTTTAACTTCTTATCTTATGTTGGTGTATAGCCGATGAACACTGTTGTGATAGTTTCAGGTCAACAGCAAGGGGCGCAGTCATAGGTATCATTATCCATTCTCCCCCAGATCCTCCTCCCATCCAGGCTGCCACATAACGTTGTATGCTTTTAACTTCTAGGGAAATTTTGTGCTTCCAAACTCCTCTGTTTAGAATATTTTCTTCTCTTTCTCAGTCTTGATGGTCAGTATAGCATTATTTGAGGATTATTTAATAATGCAGATAAGGAGGAAACTGAAATTTTATGTTTATTTTTGATCACATGGTCAGAGGTAGCTGGTAATTTGAGTAATCTGTAAGCCATGGGTTCTTTTTGTGTTGTTACCTTTTTTTTTTTTTGGTATTGAAATTAAGCCATAGGTTCTTTAGCTGATGAGGTGGGAACATTCCTTCTGTATATTCATTCATACAACAAGTGCATTTTTCATGCCTTCTGTTTGTCAGGGATGGGATAACACAGTGTGTGTTTTTTGTTGGTAAAGGGATGTTGTGAAAGATGCTACACCACCAGTACGTGGTGACTCCTGGGCACCTTTCTGTATTCCAGGGTGGAGACAGCTGCTGTTATCTTTCTCTGATGTCAGTAGTATCAGCCAGTACTTTGCATTCAGTGAGCTCACAGGAATACTTGTTGAATGAATGAATAATTAGATTTATAAATAGAGATTTCATGCATATGAGGAAAATGCTTGACTTCCTGCTGAAACCGAAGAGTAAATCAGAAATTTATTTTTAGTGCCCCTTAAAAAAGTCTAATTTTAATTACAGTAAAATTTATTTCATACTTTCTCATGGGCAGTTGTTCTCAAATGCTTTGGCCCTGCTGCTGCTGCTGCTAAGTCGCTTCAGTCGTGTCCGACTCTCTGCGACCCCATAGACGGCAGCCCACCAGCCTCCCCCGTCCCTGGGATTCTCAAGGCAAGAACACTGGAGTGGGTTGCCATTTCCTTCTCCAGTGTGTGAAAGTGAAAAGTGAAAGTGAAGTCGCTCAGTCGTGTCCGACTTGTAGTGACCCTATGGACTGCAGCCTTCCAGGCTCCTCTGTCCATGGGATTTTCCAGGCAAGAGTGCTGGAGTGGGGTGCCATTGCCTTCTCCGGCTTTGGTCCTAGTGCCTAAGATTATTGCAGCCAAAATAGTTTAGATACATTCAACTTTAAAAAAAATATTTTTTGTTTCCTCAGTTATACTGTGATTACTGACTTTTTACCAAGTTTATGCTTCCAGTAATTAGTCTGTATTTTAGTGCATGAATGCCTTGCCAGGCAGTAGACGTAATGTAAAAGCAGATGTCATTACTGTTAAGCTGGCTTACATTTAGAATAAAAGAACTAAAAATTCTTAGAAACACAGTAGAATGTAAAGGAGATGGTTGAATTGAAATGTTTTCTAAGTCAAGGTGGGACTTCTCTGGTGATTCAGTGGTTAGACTCTGACTTCCAGTGGATGGAGCACAAGTTCAATTTCTGGTCAGGGAGTTGAGATCCCACGTGCCATGCAGCACAGCCAAAAAAAAAAGCAAAATTGTTCACCATTCTGTCAGTTAATCAAATCTTTGGACTTTCCTGGTGGCTCGGTATTAAGGAACCTGCCTGCCAGTGCTGTAGACACAGGTTTGATCTCTGGGTCAGGAAGATCCCCTAGAGGAGAAAATGGCCACCCACACTCCAGTATTCTTGCTTGGAGAATCTCATGGACAGAGGAGCCTGGCAGGCTACAGTCCACGGGGTCGCAAGGAGTTGGACAGAAATTAGCAACTAAGCAATAAACATGTCAAGATGAGAAAAATTTGTGGGAGGGGGTGAGTGGCACCTGTTGATTTATGGATTACTCTGTCAGAGTAATTCAACTTCAAATTATACATATAGACACTTACAGAATGAGATTTTACGCATTCTTTATTTAGGTTATATACTTTTATCCATTTAGTTGATATGACATGTTGTAGGTGATACAACTTTGTAGGTGGAGTCTTTTTTTAGTTCAGTATCCTTAACTCCTCAAAATGATATGATTTTTTTTTAAAAGCATGTTTATAATGCCTTATAAACTAAAAGTGGCTTTTTGAGACAGAGACTTCATGTAAGCTTTCATTTCAGAATGAAAAGATACAAGAACTGCAATAGCAGCTTTTGAGTTTAAATAGCAGTGCTAGGAAGTTTCTTTTTTCTCTCTGTATTACATCTATACTAATCCTGCTTTACTTATGATTTGAAGTTTATTATGTCTTAATGAAGTGAACACTGGTTTAGTCATGATCAGATGCTTACTGTTATCTCATCATCATCTAAGTGAATTGGGATTTTTCATCATCCATCCATTCCTTTTCTAAAGGATTTCAAAAGTTTAGGAGACAATAAATGGAAGCTGGGAGTTTTCCTATTAGTTGAGTAAGCCTTGATTTTGGGGGGTGGGTCATCTAAGATTAGATGATGCAAAAAGATGATTTGTGCCCTGTCCTAAAATTAATGCTGCATATTTTGACCTGGATCTGTCCGAGATCCAGATCAGAGGTTCTTGGTTTTATTCCTTTTTTCCTTACACTGTTCTGTTTTTCTTCTCTAGATTGGTCAGGTGAAGCAGGAGCTGTCCAGAAAGGACACGGAACTACTAGCCCTGCAGACAAAACTGGAAACCCTCACCAACCAGTTCTCAGACAGCAAGCAGCACATCGAAGTGCTGAAGGAGTCCTTGACGGCCAAGGAGCAGAGGGCTGCCATCCTGCAGACCGAGGTGAAGGCGTGCTGGGCTCTGCAGGGACCCCGTTCCTGGGCACCTTGGCACTTGTGTTACTTGTGCGCTTCTTGTTGTGCTGAGATATGGGAGCCATGGATACTGCTACGAGGGATTCTATAGCAGTGTGATCGGTTATTGTACTAAACTATAGTCATCTTGTTTCTGTCATTCTTGGATCTAAGAAATTAAAACCAGTGCAGTTTACATATATTTCTGATATTTGTAAGAATACTTTAGGACTTCCCAGGTGACTCTGGTAAAGAACCTGCTTGCCAGTGCTGGAGCAGGAGACGCAGGTTTGATCCTTGGGTTGGGAAGCTTCCCTGGATAAGGGAATAGCAACACATTCTAATATTCTTGCCTGGAGAATTCCAAGGACAGAGAGGAGCCTGGCGGGCTATAGTCCATGGGGTCAGAAAGAATCAGACCTGACTAAGCATGCACACACGCAAGTATACTTTAAACTAACATTAAGAAATGAAAAGATAGTTGTAAAAGCATTTGTTCTCACCCATGGTAAATCTCAGTCATTAATGACCATGAGCTTGGGCTGCCTGTGTTGGGTGATTAAGTGTCCTTAATTTTTGGTACTACGAATAGCTTTAAGTATACAAACTGCAGAATACAGAAATGTTCAAGATTCATCTTGTTTTGAGCTGCAGATTGTTAGATACGTGCCTTCACGTCCTGTTTGAAAATAGGGTTAGCGTTTTTAGAAATCTTAGAAGATGATCTAGGCTCTCAGCCTAGATTTAGGTAAGAACATACTGAATAATTTCATACAGATGAGAATCTGTCATATTTGCAATGATCTGTTTGGATTTACTGTCTAAAGGAAAATATTTTCTAAAGAGCTCAATGATGTAGAGAATTTAGGTAGGAGTAGGTAAGCAGTTCTGCTTTCAGTTCAGTTCAGTCACTCAGTCATGTCCGACTCTTTGCCACCCCATGGATTGTAGCACTCCGGGCTTCCCTATCCGTCACCAACTCCCGGAGCCCACTCAAACTCATGTCCATCGAGTCGGTGATGCCATCCAACCATCTTATCCTCTGACGTCCCCTTCTCCTGCTGCCCTCAATCTTTGCCAGCATCTGGGTCTTTTCCAGTGAGTCAGTTCTTCACATCAGTTGGCCAAAGTATTGGAGTTTCAGCTTCAGCATCAGTCCTTCCAAGGAATATTCAGGACTGATTTCCTTTAGGATTGACAGGTTTGAAATTCTTGCAGTTGTGCTTTACAGAAGAAAAAGCAGTAATGTGGATTAAGGTTTTCTTTTAAAGAACTGGATAATTGACAGAGGTATAGTTTAATGAGAAAAAGGAACGGGTAGTAAAAAGAATGCAGAAGAACATTACAGACCCAGAAGTTCAGTATCTTCAAGTGAGGAGGAAGAGAAAAATGACCAAAATATTTCACATATTATTTTTATACTGTGAGATTTTGTTGAAAATGAGCAATTTAGATGGTGTGTTTATAATTTTCCTTATGGCTTACTTAGGCCTTTTCTATTTTGATCATGTTTTGGTTAATCATGGCATCAGCTTCCTACCTCAGAAGCATGTTTTGGGTATGAATACGGCTCTGGCATCAGCGTTACCGAGTTTGACCGCTGGCCAGCAGGTGCAGATTCTGACCTGTTGCTTAAGTTCATTGTGCCTTGTTTCACATCTGTAAGGTGAAGAGGAGTGCCGGCCTCATTAGGTTGTTAGCATTAAGCCAATTTATCCACGCCTGGTGCCTGTCACATAGTAAAGTCTTCGTATGTCAGCTGTCGGCATCATCATAGTTCTTATGATACTGTCAGCTCATGTCTGTAAACTGCTAAAACAGTGAGAGAACATGGTCACTTTTCATTGGCATAAATTTTATGTGGAAGTTCTGCTGTTTACTATTTTATAAAGCAAAATTAAGGTTTACTCACGGAATTGCAGATGCAGAACTACCTGGAAAATGTAACCTGTAAATGTGTTAACTTAGAGCTTTATTAAAGAGTTTTCCACATCAGTACCTGGTTGCATGCAGTTCTATGAGAGAGTCAGAAGAGGGCGCCCTCGCTTTAGAAGTGAGCCTGCATCCGGGCTTGCTGCTGTGATGACTTTGGATGGAGGTGGCAGGTGTGTGAACCAGAGTCCCAGGCAGTTGGTTAGTGATGATGCAAACACTTAAAAGCTTGTCACAGTCTAATAGATGACTTCTTCCCCTTGGCAGTTCATCCTTCTCTTTGTACCCCTCTCAAATAATGTTTTCATTAACTAGGTCTCACACAGATGGGCTTGTGATTGGCTTCTTGTACCGTAGAGAACAAAGACTGTATTTGTGGTCATTCTTGGATGGTTTTTATATTTGCTTTTAGCCATTGTGGGAATAACTGAGTTTCAGCAGTTTACCCCCACAAGTTATCAGGACAACTGCTCGAATATAAGTGTCTCATTCTGAACAATAACAGTAGGAAAGTGAGCTTCCTTTTGAATTGGGGTGATTTTATGAATGTTATATTCCTGTTTATTAGGATTTACTTTTTTTCATAAAGTACTTTGATGACACTTGACAACAGCTTTCTCCTATTGGATCCCCTAAAAGTCAGTTTGAACCAACTCTTGAAAAGTTCTCATCTATTTCTGTAATTACTAATACTTCTCTTGCTCTTAATTGATCTCGTCTTCCTCTCTGAAGCTATCCTGGACTTTCATCTGGCTCTCAAATCACTAAATTAAGCCAGGGATTGAGGTCTTTGGGAGCAGTGTGTATTAATAATACCCATGGAATTGTTCCTGTTTTGTGAACACCTCTGTTGATCTGTTAACCTCCACAGAGCTGGTCTGGATTTAGTAGCATTGTGGTCAAAAGCTGGGCTTTGAAGTCAAACCTTGGCTTGAAACACAGCGTCCTGCATTTATTAGTTATGTGGCCTAGGATGAGTTATTTTACCTCTTTCCTCTTCCATTTTTTCATCGGTCCATGAAATTAATTATAATGCCAACTTCTTAAGGTTGAGATAGACGTTTAATGTGGCTAGAATAGTTTTTTAATTATGATGCTCTCATCTGAATTTGGAGGTTAATATTAAATATCACTGGCTTAAAGTATTGCCTTTGGCTTTTTTTTAGACTATACATTTGCAACCCCCTCCTACCCTTGTACAAATAAACTGTGGAATGACACATCTCTGCCTGTGGTCTTATTGAAGTTTCTCTGAGCTCTTCAGCTTTTCATGGGGATGAGGTGTCAAACGAACTCACTGTGTTTGTTGAAATAGACTTTTTAAAAGGTCTGCTTGTGTATGGTGTTGGTTTCCTGGCCCAGTGCCCTTCGTTCATCCTTCTTTCTAGGTGGAGACAGTGGGAGATGTGGTGACAGGAGGTTATGCTGTGATCTTGGGCAGGTCACTTAGTGTGGACTTGGCTTTTTTTGCATTCTTAAAATTAGCAGTAGTTTATTTAATTTTTAAAAACCTTTCAAAATACTGTCAAATACAGGAAAAATGCAGAAAATAACAGACATCACTCAGATTTAATCTGCATTAATGTTTGATCACTTTTAAAGGTCCTTTAAAAGGAAAGATTCTTTAAAAAAAAAAAAAACTCATTCTAAGTGGAATATTCAGTGGAATATCTGATTTAAGCAGAAACATTTGTTAGAATCTCAGGTTTTTAAAACTGGTTGGGACCGGGAATAAATATGTGGGCGTTGTTGTTATGGGGGTGGTGGCTAAAGCCTTAGGAATGAAGTGGTTTCTCCAGAGGAAGTTGAAGGGAGTGAGACATAGAGGGAAATGACAGAGGGTCCAGTGAAGAACAGGCTTCCCAGGTGGCGCTAGTGGTAAAGAACTCACCTGTTAATGTAGGACTTGGGTTAACATAAGAGACCTGGGTTCAATCCCTGGGTTGGGAAGACCCCCTGGAGAAGGGCATGGCAACCCACTTCAGTACTCTGCCTGGAGAATCCCATGGGCAGAGGAGCCTGGTGGATTACAGTCCATGGGGTTGCAAAGAGTCAGACATGACTGAAGTGACTTATCACGCACCAGTGAAGAACATTGAAAAGGCGTGGTCAGATAGTTGGAAGCAGAGTGAGTCCTGTAACTCCAAGAGAGGAATTATAGGAAATACACCATTGTTTCCATGCAAATACTACTGTGCTCTTAGGTAGATCTATTTATTGATATAAAACAGAAAAAGAAAAAAAAAAAACAGAAGAAGGCTAAGATGGGTTGCGATTATTATTATTGTTTTTTTTTGGTGGGAAGGAAGTTGAGGTTAATAGTTTTGTGATCAGAAGTAAAAGACCAGACCAACAGGGTAGCCGTTTTTCTGTTCATGTTCATTGGTAGAGAAAGCCGTGCAGAGGAAAAGCCTCCTACTTTTGTTGAAGTTGGCATAACCTGCTTGCCACAGACCTTGATGCTTGGCAAGCTGGATAGATGCTGTTCCTCCAGCCCAGCGGACATGAATAAACAAGGCATTATTCCCCCTGCCAAGAATGGTGTTAGGGTGATGACTGTGTATCCTGCTAATCTCTGAGGGGTTTCCCTGAATATGCTTTTTTTGTGTGTGTGTGTGGTTTGTGAAATACGGACCTCACGCAAAATTACACTATGAATTTAGTTCAAACCAAAAGATCAGTGTAGAATTCAGAGCGATTAATCTCGTAGTAGCAAAGTGGTTTTTGTGGTTGTTTTTTATCTTAGATCTCCAGACCAGCACATTTAAATTCTGCGTTGCACAAAAAAGCAGACCAAGAAAAAGTGTACACAGGTGACTTGACTTGAAAAGATCATTTAGTGATTAGGGTATATGTGGGCACGGGTAGTTTGTGCCTAATCTTTGGGATATAAAATATTTTGAATATCAAAGCCGGCATTTCCCACTGCAGTAACACCAAAAGTTTATGTGTGTATAACAAGAGTTTTCACTCATTACCTTTTTCAGTCACCAGTTCCTGTGGGTCTCATACCTGACATTCCCTCAGAACAGCATACAGGCTTTAGTGAGTGGTTAGCACAGGCCCACCTCCAGGTCATTTAGCGGAGTCAGGGATCTGATGCAAAAGCGCAGCAGGACATCTAGGTGCTTTTCGCAAAGAAGCAGCACTCTGAGGTCTCACAGTTACTGTCCTCATAGTTCTGAGGGCTTTTGATAATACTCTATATGTGGTTGACAAGCACATACATGACCACATGCAAGAAGGTTCAGAAGTGTGAGGGTAGAATGAAGAAAGCTGGTTAATTTAGAAGTAAAGATTTATGCAATCAACATGACTGCAAAAAACAAAGCAAAACAAAATGATGTGAAGCTGTATTTGAAATGATTGCTCAGGCTGGGAGAGAAATAAAACCACAATGGAGGTGGATAACAAAAAGGGTGATGGGTCAGGGGTTATGCTATGAACAAAGAATAGGCTTAGCAGGCATAGAAGAAGGGAAAGAGCTGAGTTTCAGAAATGAGATTTTCAGAGTTTGAAAGTTCTTAGGTGAATCTTTGCAGAATATAATAAAGCTTGCCATGTGTCATTTATTAAACCAGAGGAAAGTTACAGATGAAGGAGTGTTTATTGAGGGGACAGTGGAACTTGGGGTGAAGAATTATAAATGAGCCCTGAAAAGGTGGCTCCCCAATATCTGGCTTGGCAACACTGGTGGCATTGAAGTGGTTGAGAGAAATAGAGATTAGCAGAGTGAAATCTTTTCATTTATACATTTTTCCTCTCTAGCATAGTTTAAGATAATTCATAAGTGCATGATGGCTTATCTATAGCAGTTTCAAATGAGACTAGTTTCCTAGGAAAATTTCCTCAATATCTATTGCACAGTAAGTACCACTACACACATACAATATTGCACACACAGTATTGATACTCAGATACCATATTATTTTTATATAATGTTAGATTTTTTTTTTTTGCTTTGTTGTTCAGTTGCTAAATCATGTCCGACTCTTAGTGACCCCATAAACTGCAGCACACCAGGCCTCCCTGTCCCTCACTGTCTCCCAGAGTTCACCCAAGTTCATATCCATTGAATCGGTGGTGTCATCCAACCATCTCATCCTCTGCCACCCTCTTCTCCTTTTGCCTTCAGTCTTGCCCAGGGTCTTTTCCAGCATCAGGGTCTTTTCCAGTGAGTTGACTGTTCATATCAGGTGGCCAAAGTATTGGAGCTTCAGCATCAGTCCTTCCAATGAGTATTCAGGGTTGATTTCCCTTAGGATTGACTGGTTTGATCTTCTTGCTGTCCAAGGGACTCTCAAGAGTCTTCTGTAGCACCACAATTGGAAAACATCAATTCTTGGACGTTCAGCCTTATTTATGGTCTCTCTGTCTTATTTTCTTTGTTTTTTTTTTTTTTTTTGCTAATACTGGTTATTTATTTACTTATTTTTAATTGGAGGATAATTGCTTTACAGTGTGGTGTTGGTTTCTGCCATACGTCAATATGAATCAGCCATAGGTAAAAACATATGTCCCCTCCCTCTTGAACCTCCCTCCATATCCTTTTGATATGATATAGTTTTGATATATTATTGACATTATAGTTATAACACTATTATTTGCAGATGCTTTGGTACCTGGACAGCAAACTTTGGCTGTCTAGTCTGAGGAACTGGTAGTAGAGTTGCTGTGCCTCGCAGATCTCTAAGTGTGTGATAACATTGTCAGCTGCAAGTGGATTGTAGTATCTGATAAAGCAAATGTCATGTTTGGTGGCAGTTACAGTCTTCTTTCTAATCTTAAATTTTCTAAAGCCGTGTGGCGTCACTTGGGAACTTGTTAGAAATACTGATCCTTGAGCCCCAACCTTGCTGGATTAGAAACTCTGATAGCTTGACCAGGCATTCATTTCAAATCTTCTGAAGGATTCTAATGCACGTAAAATTTGAGAAACATAATAGATCATACCTGCTCTTATAGAAGTAGCAAAGCTCAGCCTGTATATAACAATTCTCTATTTTGTCCCGTTTATTCAGATCTATTTATCTTGATACCATCGTAATTTAACTGATGTAAAATTTTTATTTCATTATGAAAGAGCTCACAGAATTTTAGAATTTAATTTCTGAGTAGTCATGTTTATATTTACAGTGGTATGTAGCCCTTCCCTTCTCCAGAAAGTGAAAGTCGCTCAGTCTTGTCCGGCTCTTTGCAACCCCCATGGGCTAGTTCTGCAGGCCAGAATACTGGAGTGGGTAGCTTTTTCCCTTCTCCAGCAGATCTTCCCAACCCAGGACTTGAACCGGGGTCTCCTGCATTGCAGTCAGATTCTTTACCAACTGAGCTATCAGGGAAGCCCCGTTATTTGATTCTAATGTAAGCTTGCTCCAAAAATATCATTTAGGCAACAGCACACATCTATTGGGAAGGAATTACATTCCTTTCTTTTCAGTTGTTGTTGTTTAGTCACTAAGTCATGTCCGACTCTTTGCGACCCCCATGGACTGTAGCCCGCCAGGCTCCTCTGTCCATGGGGATTCTCCAGGCAAGAATACTGGGGTGGGTTGCCATGCCCTTCTCGGTGATCTTCCCAGCCCAGGGATCGCGTTGGAGTCTCCTGCATTGGCAGGCGGGTTCTTCACTGCTGAGCCACCTGGGAAGTCCTTCTTTTCAGTTAATCACTTGTAAAAATCCTAACACTTGTAGGTGGACGCTCTGCGGTTGCGTTTGGAAGAGAAGGAAACCATGCTGAATAAGAAGACAAAGCAAATCCAGGACATGGCTGAAGAGAAGGGGACGCAGGCTGGGGAGATCCATGACCTCAAGGACATGCTGGACGTGAAGGAGCGGAAGGTCAACGTTCTTCAGAAGAAGGTGAGGTGTAGGTGTTCTGAACCCAGGGCCCTCTGCATTGTACCCACATGCTGTCAAAGTCCTCCTTCCTCTGTTGATGCTTTTGCAGGTAGGAAGTAAAAACTGTTGTTGAAGGAGGTAGGTTGTTAAAACTGCTCTGCAGATTCGGTTCTTAAAATTTCCAAGTCAACACTGTCTGGTATCTTCAGGCATCTTCTCCGTGGTACTATTTGTGCATGGTGCCTTGTAAATGGCCCGAGCATTTGCACTGACATCCCTCTGCCCGTCCTGGTCTTCTGTCTCGTACGGCAGCTGTGGTGACCTGTTAGTGCAGCGCATGGGCCGGGTGCTCACCGCTCCATCCTCGGGGTTAAGAGGACTACAGTTTTGAATAGACACGTGCTAGTGTCCTGACATGTAATGTGCATGTCTCAAGGAAAAGAAGACTTTCTTTCTTTTTTTACCTTCGTCACTCCTGGAAAGAGGCTAACAGTTTATAATCAATCAGGAAAGTACTATTGATCATCTGCCCCTCCCACATTTAGCTTCATCAAGGCTGCCTTTGAGGTGACAGAGTAGGCACTGCTGATTGTTGTTCCTCTCCGTTGAGGGGATGGATGAGAAGTTTTGATGTTGTCCCCGTTCATTGTTAACCTCTAACGATAGCCAGGAAAGGTAACTCACCTTACTAAACTTCAAACTCAGCTTTTCCTTGGTGTACAGAGGACCGTGTTTAGCATTCGTCCTCTGTTACATTAGTTTGGTTTTCATCTGCTTTCAAGTAAACATAAAAGTTAGATCACTCTAAATAGTTGGCTATGATATCTTGTTAGTGGGTGCTAATTTGTTGTACGTTTTTGCTAGTTTTAAATTATGAAAGTAATATATGTTCAAAGTAAAAAAATTTCAAGAAGTACAAAAACATCGGAAATGAAATTATTTTTTCTCATTCTTTGGCCCTGTCAGTGCAGCTCCTTAGATGTAACTTGCTGTTAATTATTGCATATTCTTTTATTAAATATCTGGGCATATATGTAGGCTTGTATGTGTCACACACCTTTTTAAAAAAAGACAATTAAGATCACGCTTTTTTATTCATTTAAAAGTAAACATGTTTGTGTCTTTTTAAATGTAGCTTTGTCTCATTGTTTTTAATGTCTGCATGGCCGTCAGTGTCTTACACCATAATTAACTGATGTCCTGTAGCTGTGTCAGTAGATATTTCTAGATTTTTTTCCTTATTTACATATTTGTCATGACAGCATAACAGATAGTGACATAAATAACCTCATTCAAGAATGACACTGTATGAATCCAAAAAAAAAAAAAAAAAAAAAACCCAAAAAAAAAANCAGACAATTGTTGCCAAACCTCTAAAAATTTCCATGGACCTGATAGATAATTAAAAATGTCTACCTTCCTGCTTAATATTTGTTTAAATCTGAGTGCACATTGAGCTTTTTTTCATAGTTTTCTTTGGGAACCTACATATTCCTGTCATTTTTACATTTTCTGTCACATGGTTTAATTTTTTCCCATGTTGAATTGGCCTCTTCCCTCATGATTTGCCAAATATGTTTTGTTTGTCTTTTTCTTCTTTGTTTCCTTGGTAGTGTTTGTCTTAGAATTTACACTTCAGACTTAGTAGTCCTTTCCTCTGTGTCCTCTGAATTTTTGGTCGTGCTCAAAAAGCCCTTATGCCCACCAAGTTTATTAAGTAACTCACACATGCTTTCTTCCAGTTGTTTAAAGTTTCTTTTTTCTTTACATCTGAAAATTATTTTATAAAATTTATGTATTGGCTGTAATGATTCAGCTTTTTGTTCTTATATGTGGCCAGACAGCCGTCATTATAATGTTTATTAAATAATCTATCTTTTTTCTTCTGACTTGAGATGCCACAAATAAATTGTCCTGTAAATCTGGGCCTATTTCTGGCCTGTTCCATGTATCTGCCTCTCTGTCTGTCCCAATAGCAAGTTTTATTAATTATTGTACCTTCCTCATGCATTTAGTGTTCAGTAAGGTTGTTCTGCTTTATTCTTTTCCTTTTTTTGTAGCAATTTCTGACTTTTCTCACTTGTATCTTTCTCCACATGAACTTGAGCATCATTTTGTCAAATCCCTGTCTTCAAAGAATAAGTTAATGACTTTTCACTGGAATGTGATGTCTCAGAAATCAAGTTAAGGAAGTTCAAGGGGGTGATGATTAGCCTTGTCAGATACTGCTGATGAGTAAATAAGATGAAAACTGAGAATTTGCCATTGGGTTTAATACTGCAAAGGTCCTTTGTAACCTTGATTACAGCAGTTTCATAGAGTAGGGAAAGTATAATTTGTGTCTAGTTTTCCTAATCTCCATATTACTTTTAGCAATGTATTTAATTTTTATGTCCGAATTTAACACATTTTAAAGTGAAGCGATATCTGTTGACTACTTTCTGTGAAAAATACTTAGTGTATTTAAAATCACACTTCCTGATTTTTGCTGGTAAGCTTTGTTGTCTTTCGCTTTGTCTATAGTACTTTTCATATTTATATTGTGTCTCTTGTTAAGGGGAAAGATCAGTCTTTTCTATCATGGTAATTCACATTGTGTAGCCTTCATTTCTGTGTTTTAGTGAATTTAATGTTTACCTCTAGTTGTTGCACCACAGCCTGCCTTGTTTCCAAGGTTTACATTTCATTTAATTCTTGGTTCCCCAAGAAATCCTTTGAATGCCTTTCCCAGAGTGGTCATGAGTGCTTGCTTGTTGACCATGCATTTATATTATCTTTTTACATTTCATAATTTAGTTATTTGAGAGATACAAAAAGCATAGAGAATAACATAATAAGTAATTATAGTTATTCGACTTGGGAAGTAAAATTTCAAATACAGTCCAAGTTCTTTGGCATACCTTTTCTTGATAGTATTCCCCTCTCTTATCTCCCAGAAATAAATACTTGCTTTGGTGTTTATGCATGCACGCATACCTTAGGCCAGGATAATGTGTTTTTGTGCAACTTATGTATGTACTAAGAAAATACATATAAGAAGATATACACGTGGCAAATAAATATGAACAATTATTTACCTACACTGTCATCAGGGGAATGTAAGGTAAAAGATTAAGAAATCACTTTATACTTATCATTTTAAGCTATGTTGGCAAAAATGAAGAAGTCTGACAGTATCAGGTATTGGTAAATATGGCAACTGGATTTCTTTTTCATGCAGTGCTGTCGGGGTTTTAAATTAGATACAGATATTTTGGAAAGCACTTATTAAATGTCAAGGTACCCAGCTACATACATATACTTTAAATGAACTCCAAGGTATATATAGGAATGCTCATAGTAACCTTGTTCGGGTTGAGGAAAAATATAAAACTGAGGAAATGCTGCGCAGATACTCACTGACAGAACTGAGTGAGTTGTGGCAAGGTCACACGGTGGAACGATAGCATTCGATTTAGGGCAGGGAGCATTTGTGGACGCGGGAGTCTCCTTGGCTCCTCTCCCTCCTGAGGACATCTGTAGTCACACAGTCAGTCTCTGTTCTGTTGGGCTTCTGGGCGTCCCAGGCATCCGCAGCCATCTTCACTCATGCCGACAACATAGCGCCTGCTGCTGTGCTGAGGAGGACGCAGACCAGGCGTGGCCCCTGCTCGCAGACTCCCAGAGCTGTGGGGGTTACAGAGGCTGCTCCACGGACGGCATGCGTGGGCGCGACGCCGAGCATTTCACGTCTGACCTTGCGTGACAGGAGCCTGAGAGAAGTCACAGCGGCCGAGAGTCTGAGAGAAGTCACAGCGGCCAAGTCTTGAAGATGCATGAAGTTTGCTCAGCAGATGGGAAAGGGGTGAGATGTCCCAGGCTGAGGGAGCGCTGTGAGTGAGAAAGGCGGGTCATGTCCCGGAATTGTACCTCCCTCCTTCATTCATTTGTAATACGGATTCTTAAAAATTCCTGGCGTATCTCTATCTCTGAATGCCTTTTTTCTCCCCCCGCTTATGAACTTTCTAGAGAGTCTCTGGGAAAGTTATTCCCACTTCTTACATCATGAGAAGCTTTTCAGTGAATGCACTCATCTTTGTTATCCTGTTACTTTATTTAGGAAACTAGTGAGTAGAGTTCAACTTTTCTTTCCCCTGGCCCTGAAGATTTTCCGTTAGAAACTTTAGAAATTGATCTGCAGTGGGATATTAAGCATAACATTTTAGGTATTGGGTTGGCCAAAAAGTTTACTTTGGTTTTTCCATAGGGTCTTAAGGAAAATGCAAATTGAGCTTTTAAGCCAACCCATGGAACTTGAGATATTCCTGACGACATGTCTTAATTCTACACAACACTTAACCTGCTTGGCTTCTTGATTTAGACACTTATTCCATAAGGAAGAGGGAGATGGTAACTCTACTTTCATCTTCTTCTTGTTCTTGGCATCTGCATTCTCTGATCATCTTTTCACAAATATTACTTATAACCATTTATTTAAGTAATATCTTAGCTATTTTAATATTTAAGGAGAATACCAGGAAATAATGTATTACTTTGGCCTATTAAATATGCATTAAACTTTGTTTTTTGAGAATAGTAGCAGCTGTGGTAATGGCTGGATTGTCCTGCACTCTGGACTCATTTGAGCTCTGTCTGGATCATCCCTGTTCATTGGGTTCTCAAGGCAGGAATACTGAAGTGGTTTGCCATTCCCTTCTCCAGTATATTCTCCAAGAATACACAGAACTATACAAAAAAAGATCTTCATGACCCAGATATTAACAATGGTGTGATCACTCACCTAAAGCCAGACATCCTGGAATTCGAAGTCAAGTGGGCCTTAGGAAGCATCACTATGAACAAAGCTAGTGGAGGTGATGGAATTCCAGTTGAACTATTTCAGATCCTAAAAGATGATGCTGTTAAAGTGCTGCACTCAATGTGCCAGCAAATTTGTAAAACTCAGCAGTGGCCACAGGACTGGAAAAGGTCAGTTTTCATTCCAATCCCAAAGAAAGGCAATGCCAAAGAATGTTCAAACTACTGCACAATTGCACTCATTTCACACGCTAGCAAAGTAATGCTCAAAATTCTCCAAGCCAGGCTTCAACAGTACATGAACTGAGAACTTGCAGATGTTCAAGCTGGATTTAGAAAAGGCAGAGGAACCAGAGATCAAATTGCCAACATCCACTGGATCATCGAAAAAGCAAGAGAGTTCCAGAAAAAGCATCTGCTTCTGCTTTCTTGACTACACTAAAGCCTTTGACTGTGTGGATTACAACAAACTGGAAAATTCTTAAAGAGATGGGAATTCCAGTCCAACTTACCTGCCTCCTGAGAAATCTGTATGCAGGTAAGGAAGCAATAGTTAGAATTGGCCATGGAACAATGGACTGGTTCAAAATTTGGAAAGGAGTGCGTCAAGGCTGTATATTGTCACCCTGCTTATTTAACTTCTATGCAGAGTACATCATGTGAGATGCCAGGCTGGATGAAGCACAAGCTGGGATCAAGACTGCTGAGAGAAATATCAGTAATGTCAGATAGGAAGATGACACCACCCTTATGGCAGAAAGCAAAGAACTAAAGAGCCTCTTGATGAAAGTGAAAGAAGAGAGTGAAAAGTTGACTTAAAATTCAACATTTGGAAAACTAAGATCATGGCATCTGATCCCATCACCTCATGGCAAATAGATGAGGAAACAGTGGAAACAGTAAGAGACTTTAATTTCTTGGGCTCCAAAATCACTGCAGATGGTGACTGCAGCCATGAAATTAAAAGATATTTGCTCCTTGGAAGAAAATCTGTGACCAACCTAGACAGCATATTAAAAAAGCAGAGACATTACTTTGCCAACAAAGGTCCATCACATCAAAGCTATGGTTTTTCCAGTAGTCATATATGGATGTGAGAGTTGGACTATAAAGAAAGCTGAGTGCCGAAGAATTGATGCTTTGAACTGTGGTGTTGGAGAAGACTCTTGAAAGTCCCTTGGATTGCAAGGAGATCCAACCAGTCCATCCTAAAGGACATCAGTCCTGAATATTCATTAGAAGAACTGATGCTGAAGCTGAAACTCCAATACTTTGGTCACCTGATGTGAAGAACTGACTCATTTGAAAAGACCCTGATGCTGGGAAAGATTGAGGGCAGGAGGAGAAGGGGACGACAGGAGATGGTTGGATGGCATCACTGACTCAACGGACATGAGTTTGAGCAAGCTCTGGTAGTTGGTGATGGACAGGGAAGCCTGGTGTGCTGTAGTCCATGAGGTCACAAAGAGTTGGACATGACTGAGTGACTGAACTGAACTGGGCTGTCCCTGCCCGCCCACCATCTCTAGCTTACTAGGCAATGAACGTATTTGTATGCATGGTGATAGCCTTGTGCCCCGAGAGTGAAATGAGACAATAGCAGATGGCCAGGCGTGCTGTACAACGGGATTAGCGTCGGCCCCTCCTTTGCAGGGCTCTCCCCGATGGTTTAAAGTAGTTTTGTGTTACAGTAGATCCCTTATTTTTATAATAAACCACTGACCTGGAAAATGTAACTGAGCATTTGAATGTGAGCTGCATTCAGAATGTATGTTAAAATTGTACCACCCCTTGCTTGATGGATTATAAATGGTAATGGAGCTTGGAGTTTAATTTACTGACGCAGGTGTTATCATCTCTCCCGTCTCTGCCCGGTAACGTCTGTTTTTTTCGCCTGGCCTGCATCTCCAGTGTCCTAAGTTTCAGTATTTAGAGTTCAGATCTAACGGTAACGGAAAGCTACTGATGTACAGAATTAGAAGGTTTCCCCTTTCTTGGTTCTAGATTGGTTCTTTAAGTCTCCTGTTGTTTTGTTTTCAGTAGGAAGTCAGGAAGAACGGGTTCTTTATATACTTTGTTTTCTGTGGAGTCTTAAGACTATGTTAGTTTCTTCAGTTTTTCCATATCATAAACTGAAAAGACATGTTTTATCATTGAAAACATTTACTAATTTATTCTAGGAAAGTTAATATTTTAAAAATTGTGCCGCCTTGTCTTTAACAAGGGCTTCCCTGGTGGCTCAGTGGTGAAGAATCCACCTGCCAATGCAGGAGATGCAGGTCCAATCCCTGGATTGGAAAGATCCCCTGGAGAAGGAAATGGCAACCCACTCCAGTATTTGCCTGGGAAATTTCATGGACACAGGAGCCTGCAGGGGCTACAGTCCAGGGGTCACAAAAGAGTCGGGCATGACTCAGTGACTAAACAGCAAGAATGATTTTTAATAAGAATTACTTGCAGTGTTTTCTAAATACTGTTTTAAAGTCACAAGCTATTAGCTAAGTTAGAAGAAAACAAGGTCAGGCCCTAATTGCATTTAAGTTGAAAGCTTAATATACTTAGGCATTAAGATTTTCCCTTTTCTTTCTTTTACTTATTTTTTAAAAAAATTAAAATTTTTTTCTCAGTGGAAAATATATAGAGCTAAATTCTTAACAGTATTTTATTGAAAATACATAGTCAATGAAATCTGATTGACGGTGGTATTTTTGCTGGGGAGTGTGCTCCATGTGGATTTACTTTGCTTATGTAACTTTTTTCCCCTCACCTTTTCAAGTAAACCTTTAAGGACGGTAGATAGTTGAACTTGTAAAGTCTGATTTAGCTTCGTTTTTGTCAGCATCATCTATGTGTGTGCTCAGCCATGTCTGACTCTTCTGTTGATTGATTTTTGTATGTTGAATCAGTCTTGCATTCCTGGGATAAGAGTGGATGTGTTTTTAAAGAGCTTTGTATTTTTCATTTGGGGAAATGTGGAGCCCTGTTCTCTCAGCATTATCGTGGAGGCACTAAGGATGGACCTGAGAGAATGTGGCCTTTGGATAAATTCTGTATATTTTCAATGGCTAAGGCATAATGTAAATAAGAACCATGCCAAGGCTTATATTGTAATGTTTCATACATAGAAGCATTTTGTAATATGCTTCTAGAAGTAATTTTGACCCTTATTAAAACATCATTTCTTTGGACTTTTGAGCAGCTTAGTAAATAATTTGAGGATTTATGGAATGTGTCCGTTTTCGGTTGATCGTGTGCCATATAAATATCCTCAGATTCTTGCAGGCTCTAGTTTGGAGTATCCTGAATTCTGTTTTGACTGAACACACATTTTAAACTTGAAAAATGGTAATTAACAAGTCAATAGAAAAGGGTCAGGTCCCTTTCGGGACAAAGGTTGTCTTAGTATACTGTCTCTCAGGAGACTTTGTAGGAGGAACCAGTCAGAGTATAAAGACTAGGTATCTGGAAAGGGACAAAGGATTTGGGGAAGAAACAAACAAAAAAAACGCTTGATCAAAGTTTCAAAGCACAGTTAATATTCTGCTTAAAGCTGCTTCTCGTTTGATGTGAATTAACTCACATTGCCTTCTCACCTGTGGGAATCCCGGTTTGGATAGATGCCTGGGTGCCTGTGAACTCTAGTTGAGAAGCTGAAATAATTAACCGCCTGAAGAAGCTAGTATGAAATCAAACTTTGATGAAGCCACTTTCTGTGCCCTTCCTTCTCTCTGCCACACCAGAAAATACCCTTCTCATACCCTCATCAGAAAATAGCTTCTAGCATCAGACATGTATTTTATTCTTTATCTGTTTCATCTTCCTGTGATTGCCAGACCTCTTTACTTTTTTCTCCTCTAACACTTCTTCTCCTACAGGGGTTTTTCATTCCAGGCAGGAATATCGGAGTAGGTTACCATTTCCTACTGCAGGGGATCTTCCCAACCCAGGGATTGAAACTGCATCTCCTTCATTGGCAGGGGGATTCTTTACCACTGAGCTACCACGGAAACCTGGTACATACAGAAATAGAAGGATAATTAGAATAAACCCAGGATATGCTGATAATTAATGTTGGAGAAAAGCACCGAGTAAATACATGCTTAAAAAAAGAGAGGAAGAGCCTAAGATTCCTGAACCTGCTTCACACAATAAAATTGACATTGATGACTGCTTAGAATAAGTGTGGAGGCATCATTGAAAAATTCTTTTCCTTCAGATGATGCTCAGAGTAGGTAGGTGACTGCGAGAAGTATTTGGGGATTTCTTGTCCTTCGTGCTACAACCTACAGAGAGTCTCCTCTACCTTCCCTCAGTGATTAGGGCCTGGCAGAGTAATCAGTTCCACTCGGCTAGGAATAAATCACCCATGTTGAAACATGATAGTTTCTGACAACTGGCAATGCTGATAAAGGCCAAAACAAAAGATGTTAAGAAATCTGTGCCAATATGGAGCTGCTGTGCAGATCGATGGATTCACGTGTGGCCTGCATTCAACATCAGTCTTCATCCTCCATCAATTTTCTTCTCTCTTTGTAAAGTAGAAATTGTATAAGGAAAAGAAAGGCTCTATACAGTATAATAGTTATTTTATTTCTCTTTTCTTTCCAGCCCGGTTACCAGGGATATACTTTAATTAGAGGGATCATTTTAAGGAAAATGTCTTTTTTCTCTAAATAATTATTAAAAAAATATTTCCTTGTTGAATTCTTCATTGTTAGTTCTTTCCTATGATATTAGGCTGTTTGTATTACTAATTGGACCTCCCCATTAATCATCAGGTTTCACAGCTTCCCTGGTGCTCAGACAGTAAAGAATCTGCCTGCAGTGCTTGAGACCTGGGTTTGATCCCTGGGTTGGGAAGATCCCCCAGAGAAGGGCATGGCTACCCACTCCAGTATTCTTGCCTGCAGAGTTCCCTGGACTGAGCAGCCTGGCGGGCTACAGTCCATGGGGCCACAAAGAGACAGGACTTAGCAACTAAACAACAAACAAAGCAAGGATATATAAGAGGAGTTCTTAGT